CGGTCAATATGAAAAATTTCTCTTCGCGAACGCGAAGGTCTCCCGCGAAGGCGATGAACAAAAATCATCTAGATAATGTTTTAAATCGAGCATTTTAGTATTTTGAGCATATCTTGAGTTCTAGAGCTCTGTTTGAGGTGATTTTTGCGGCGTTGTTTTCGTTTCAACAAGGGGGTAAATATCTGATTTGAGGGTCAAAATTGATAAATGGTAATTCCTTGATTTGAGGGTTAATTCGTGGATAAAATTGGATAATTTTCTGGATATATACTATATATAAGTTAAGGGTAATACTTATTTTCAATAATATCTGGAATTCGGGCACGTGGGCCCTGGCGTTGACTTTTCGAGCGGATTTGAAAATTATTACAAATTATTAAATTATGAGTATTGGAGTATATTTTGATTGGTTTGCACGTTGTTTTATTAGTTTCAGATTGTTTGGCATCGGTTTGAGGAGTAAGAGAGGCGTTAGAGCCGGTTATCGGATTTCGCACCGAGGTAAGTCTCATGTATAACCTTTTTAGGGGGAATTTACCCCGTATGTATTATATTTATTATGTGCTACATGTTGTGGGAGCTACGCACATTTTAGGTGACGAGTGTCCATGCATATGCTAGAATTCCTGATTATGTCCGGATAGACTTTGACTCACGCCATACTGTAATTGTACTATTTGAGTTATTCTTGCCTATTTAAATGCTTTAATTTCTATTTAGCCTGAGACTAGACTCGCGTAGAGTGTATGACTTGCTATTTTAGATACTTGATGAGCTAATTGATCAGCCGTGGAAATTGTACTTTCCTTTACGGATTTCTTCTGTGTTGAGCGTATTCGCCCGATAGTTTTTCTTGAATTTTATAAATCACACGTACATTAGTGAGTGGGGTCAGTAACCCGTCAAAGTTTCATATTCTAATAGGATCGGGTTAAACGCCTCACCAATACTCTTATGAAATCGGGTCGTTCGCATCGCCGGTATCATGTAATACACTTTTATGGGATCGGGCTGTTCGCCTCGGCGGTATCATATAACACACTCTTATGGGATCGGCTCGTTCGCCTCAGCAATTCTATAAAATACTCTTATGGGATCAGGTCGTTCGCCTCGGCAGTACTATGAAACGCTCTTATGGGATCGGGCCGCTCACCTCGGCAGAATCGTGCGAAATACTTGATAAGGAGTCTGCGTACTCATGAGTTTCTTGACTTGAGATGTGACCTTTGGTTTAGTATTGACCATTACGTATTCCATTTGACGAGGTATCCGATAATTGAGGACTTTGTGTTTACTATTCAGCTATAGACCGTACTATTTGCCTATATCTGTTCTCATTGTCTATTTACTAGGTTTCATACTTGTCTACTTTATTATATTTGATTTACTAGACCACTAGTAAGTATCAATGTCGACCCCTTGTCACTAACTCTTCGGGGTTAAGCTAGATACTTACTGGGTATGCGTTGATTTACATACTCATACTGCACTTCTGCACTAAATGTGCAGGATCTGACAGGTTCGTTTGGTGTTCATTTGGGCGCGTAGGCGCAGCTGCTGAGGGGACTTTATGGTAAGCTGCATTCAATGCTACGATTCACAATACACAGAGTCTCCATCATAATTATTTACTTTATCCAGTCTATCTTGTATTCTAGACAGATGTTGTATTGTTATTGTACTTCCTAATAGATGCTCATGCACTTGTGACACTGGGTATTGGGATGTTCTAGAATTTGTTTATGGTTTTGCTTACCATTGACACACTTTTACTTTATATTTCATTTAAATTGTACGTATCTACGATTTTTAATGCATTGATTTTCCTATCTAATAAGATTTATGATTTTAAAAATAATAAAATAAATAGTTAAGTTGGTAGTTCACCGTTGGCTTGCCTAACGGCGACGTTGGGCGCCATCATGACCTATAATGGGTTTTGGGTCGTGACAACATACTTTTTCTTATTGTTCTTTTTTTGTTTTGTTCTGATCTCAAAGTTCAATTTTGCTAGAGAGTCTATGTTCACAAGAAAAGATAAATCAATTTGATAAAAGTTGTGCATGTTCAAGTTAACGAGCTTTGTTTGACAATTAATATTTTACTATCTTTTGTACAAATTATATAATACTTGACTAGAGATATACGGGCAAAGTACATACATAGAGACTAATCTATATTATTATAAAAGTGAGAATCCTTTAACCTAAAAGTTAAATTACCAAAATGCCCTTTTTAAAAATCTAACTAATCTAAATAACATTCTAAAAAATAACCAAGCCAACGCTTCATGTTCTTTGTTAAAAGTCACAACCGTTCCTTTTTGTATTCCATTTACGAAATGGAGATAAAAAGCTACACACCGTATACAAATGAGATCCATAGTAAAAAAAAAAAATGACAAGCCCATAACCATACATTAGTTCGTAAAAGTTCTTTAATTTTGCGCCGGAAAATGGAAGTTAACAATGATCTTCACACCATCCTCGACAAACAACGTCGTGAGACATTTTACGATGGAGTTTCAATGTGTTTAGGTAAAGGAGATTTAATTAGTTTTCAAAGAAAAAATTTATATGTGTCAGTATCATTAGAAGTTTTGACATGTTTCATTATTTATAATGCTATTTTGGTTTTCTCATTCATGTAATGTCCTTGTAGTTTTAATTAACTTTCTCTAATAGAAAAGGACATTTCCTATATTTATATTTTTTTTACTTATAAAGTATTTGTTGATGAACTTTATGTCTTTCTCTGTACATATTACCTTATTGAGATTCTTTTTAGATTGACAGAGTTAAGATACTTCCAATTTTCAGTTTCATTGATAAACATAGAATAAAAACTTTTAATATATTTCTTGTTTGATTTATTCTTTAGAGTGATTCGTCTTAAAATTTGTGGAAACTCATGAATTATTTAATATTCTGCCATTACAATAATTATTATGAATGATAATATTGATATGTATTAAGCACTAAGTTGTTAAATTAAAAAAGTTAGTATGTGTACTTTGTTATGCTATTACCTTAAAAAAAATTCAATAGTGCATAAGTTTGAGATACATGAATAGTTTGTTATAAATGCATAATTTTTTAACAGACGAATTATTCAAAAATGATTTGGTAATCTTCGTATTTGTAATGCCGAGAAACTACAGTAGCAAGAATTCTATCAACCAAAACTTGCAATCATTGAGTGCTTAATTAATTTTGAATTTTGAGATTTGAAATTTATTCAACAGATTTAGTTAAAAAATCATATCTATTTAGTTTCTCCAGCAGCCAATTAGTGATATAGTTTGTACACCATAAAATGTAAATAAGTAAAAAAAAAAAAAAAAAAATTCATATATCTAATTAAACTTTGATTGTTTATGTCCATAGATTTAGACGACATTCAATCATTTTGATTTTGACAAACAAGTTAGCATTTGATATTTCATATTGATCAGTACTCACATAAACTTGTATTTTATTCTTATTATTAACTTGTAATTTATATTTTCATTTATAATTATCTATTCAAAGCTTTGTATGGCCATATGAATATTAACTAACAAGTATACTGTGTGAATTTGGTATACACGTGTGCCACCCGTATCGAGAAACTAATTATTATAAAGGTGAAAAACCCAAAAATTAAAAGTTAAATTACTAAAATACTCTTCTAAATTAATAGTTTTATTTAGGCATTTAATTATATTAAAATAATATTAAAAATAATATTTAAATAAAAGAAAAAAATTAATTTAAAGTGCCTCCTCTAAAAGTTGTGTTATTTCAGAGAATAACTATAAATGCTATTAATATTTTCAAAAAAAAAAAGTATCAAGATGACGACTTTGTGGTATAATAGAATGTTAAAGGGACACATATTTCTTTACGTTGTCCAACTGCCATTTTCTTTATTTTTAATATGTAGAAAAAGTTGCATGCACATTGTTGAAAATTCTCTCAGAAAATGATTATGGGATGGATGGCTTTCAGTATTACAAGCATTTTGAGTGCCTAAGGCTAAGGTGTAACAGTGTACGAGTCCCAAAGAAAAAATATGAATGAGTTTTAATTTTAAAATGAACAGCTTTGTTGATCTAAAGAAATTTGAATCTCTTTATGTTAACAGTTGGTAATGTTTTCATCATTGCCACATGGCTAAAACACAAAAGAGAAACTGCAGAATCTTTCCTAAGTATATGAAACGATGCAAAGAAATTTACGGGGTTGCGTCTCCTCGAAAATGACTTTTAACTCCAGCAAGTTTATGCTTCAATTTCTTTCCTTGAACTATTTTGGAGATTAAAACGAGAGATGAATATGATAGGAGATGTCCAAAAACCAATAGTATTAATTATGTTTAGGAATGAAAATATACAAATTAAAAAAAATGTAATGAAGAAGATACAAACTTTAAAAACACATGTCCAATACATGATTTCAAGGATACAGTTGGATCAAAACTTTGATTAGTAGTATATAGTAGTATATCTTTATCAATTGTGAGATAGTTCCCATTTCTGTAATTTTAAAGCTCAAGAAGGTGTTCATAGGTAAAGTGAAATATATGAATTAGAATTTTTTTTCTTTATTGAGTTAAGTAATATAATACGTATATTTTTTCTAAAGAATTTTGCATTCATTGAGTTACAAGACACGCGCAATGCGCGTGCCGAGAAACTAGTTATATTAAAAGCATGAATCCCTAAACTAAAAGGTTAAATTACCAAAATAACCTCCTATTAGATACATTTAACAAAATTAATAATATACTAATAATAATACTTTAATAGAAAGGAGGAAATTATTCTGAAGGGTTGTATCTCATAGAATGCTTTATATTAGTAATGAAAATCTGACTTGTGCAAATATACTTAGATGTCGGTGCCCGTGCTGTGCACGGGTATATGCCCGACCTTGATAGTTGTTTTATTTGAACAGAATTATCAAAAAGGTTTAACACCAAGAGAATATTCTTGTTCTTCTTTCGATCGTTTAGCATGATTGCTAATAAAGTAAGTAATATTAACAAATTAATTAAATATTCAGAACATATTAATGCTTCATACAATAAGTATCCACTGAGGAATAAAGATGTACAAGATACCAAAGGATTATATGTACTTGTAACATAGTACATTGTTGAGCTCGCTTCCGTAAGTACATTATTCAGCTTGTTTACATGAGAACCTATTTACACATTTGGACAAAAGAAGATGGTTTCTTTGAAAGTCCATAAGTCCACAAACCTTTGTAGTTATAAGCCTTCTTTTGCAGTAGCATTCGACAGAAATACCAAAACCTGCAGTTACAGAACTTAAGCAACGCTAAAGAAGCAAATGCATAATGTTTCTATTAAACAAACCATCAAATACCAACTGAGTACTAATTCACCACTATCAAATTTATGATTTCCAAAAGTAATAATAATGCAGAGCACATGACTACCTAACTCACAAGGAAGGGAATAGAAGAACATGAACTCAGCAGTATATAGTAGAGTCATTGATGCAACAGCAACAATGATTCGAGGAAACAGTTTTGATATAGAGGGTCTACAGAGAAATTTTACAGCTGGAAGAAGAAACGAGAAAACATCAAGACCATAAGATACTCAAAGAACACATGTAGGATGCCGCAGAAGAAACATTTAACAATTGCAATTTTGCATCAAATAAGTTGCAACACCAGCAATTCCCTTACCAGAATGATAATTCACAAAAGGGATCAGGAAACTTGGAGACACTATCCCAGAAGTTACAAAAACATGCAACTATATGGCATTTTTTACACCATTTACTAACAAGCATTCTCCAAGGACCTTATTTGAAGTGAGTAATGAACTATACATAATACCTCCGGATCCACTTTTGGGAAAAATAGTCTCTATGCTTACTATTGCTATTTTCAATGTTTCATTTACCGCAGAGAAAACCTTCACTAAGAACATGAGAATTTGCAACTTTATAAAGTTCAGTAGCTGCTGTAGCAATTGCAGTGGGTTGTGAAATAGGTTGAGTGAAAAACAGAGCTGGATGAAGGATTTGAAACAAGCACTTTTTCTTATTCAAATGACACCTTTTAGTTCACATATAGTTGACAATCTCGGGAGGTTAATATTTTTTATATAGTAACTTGGAGAGTCGAACCCACAACAATAAGGCCGACAGTCTTGGAATGTAACAAAAGTTTTTTAGTTATTACCGATAACACTGACATCTCCTGCAGTGATGGCACCATGGTTCACCAATCCGTCAGAGAAACTACAAATAGGTTCCAAGTTAACTACACTTGTGAGAACCCTACACTAAGAATTTTATACTCTTTAAAATGATATTTTCTGGTTAGCAAATTATTTACATGACTGATGTTAGCACAAGTATCTATTTTTTTCCCGTACATTGTCAAAAATCTCATGGAGTTAATTGTAAGCAACTCCAATCCATAACCATGGTTCACCAATTCGTTATAGAAACTACAAATAGGTTGCAAGTTAACTACACTCATGAGAACCCTAGACTAAGAATTTTGTACTCTTTAAAATAATTTTTTCAGGTTACCAAATTGTTTACAGATTGATGTTAGTACAATTATCGGTTTTTTCTCGTACATTGTCCAAAAACTCATGGAGTTAATTATAAGCAAGTCCAATCCAATTCTTAGCAAGTAGTTACCTTTCCATTTCTTCATACTCATAACAACCTTACAGGATGTTTTCCCTTTTTCTTGGTAGCATAACCAGAAAAGTAACATGAGCAACTTCAATTGAGATGGAATACATATATTCCTTGGAAGACCAGAACAACAAAATTCCCTGGGGAGGTATCAACAATTTTTCATTCTATCAAAGTGCAGTTAAATAACCAAAAAAAGCAAGAGCACATTTCTGTGCAGTTAAATAACCAAAAGGAGCATTTACAGATTTCTATTATACTGATCTCTTCATCGGATGAGACAAGGTATTATTTTTATGTGTGTTGCTCATTTCATAGGGTCTTTGCTACCCTTTCAAATTCACTGCCCGTTAATATGGGGTTTCAACTATTTGAAAAATTGTAAGATCTTAATAGTGAGTGGTACGCTAGCTGCATATAACTTTAACATAATAGAAGAATACGCGGAATAAATTCAATGGAAAGGGAAGTCATCATACCAATGCAAGGTTATATATGTCTTCTAAATGATTTACTTAATTGTCTTTAGTGAAACTGAAAGGCGTCCTCTTTTGGGGTAAATCATTTTTAACTTTTCTTTTGCAAATCAAGACAATTTCAACTACTACAATGCCTGCGAAACCTTCACACATATATCCATTTTTCTTGATAAGACCTTGATACATGTATCATATATGATCTTTAATTTTGTTCTTGATATCTTTTTTAGTCAAATTATTCAAACAGGTAGTATAAACAAAACTAAACAGAAGAAGAATCAACTTACAGGAACTCCGATATATCTAAAGTTTTGGATCCATCTCTTCCAATTATTTTTACTCCTAATTTCCGCTACAAGATCTCCGAGAGACATCCTCTTGTACTCTCTCCTGTAAATCATTACAGATCTAAGCATTCAATACCACAGAAACAATATCTCAAACAATATAGATAAATGCAAGAACAATATTAACACAAAGATACATTTTAATCGGGAAATATATCACCATTAGGATAAGTTACTCATTTGTTATATCTTCTCGACGCCAATGAAATCAACAAATATTCTCTTTTTCTTCTTCACTTATTCCAAGGTGAACTCAGTTTCCCATTAAAGCAATATTAATTTCAAAAGAATGATAACTAAGATTTTCTCAACAATTACAACTTGAAATAAAAAACAAAAAGTTAAACCTCCGTGAGATTGCTGCAAAAAATGCTAATGACAGACATTAAAACAACATTATCACATCAACATGTAAAGCGAAAAACTAATTTAAGATCTACCAGAAATCGAACAAGAACCGTCGTTAGAGCTGACTACAAGCATGTTATATTGCAAGAACTTGCAAAACCACTAATTTTTACACTAAATATAAAAAAAATAACTTTAACAAAGAACTTTTTCATGAATATTTAAAACCTCAGACAACATAAAGGAGATTATATCATGTGCTAAGTTATATCATGAGCTAGAGTCAAATGGCACCAAAAAAATCTGTGCTAAATTACCTTCAGAATTTGTCTTCATAAATTATGCTAGCATATGTTAGGTGCATTGTCTTATCCTTAGATTTTCAAGAATAACTCTACCAACCTGGAAAAATAAAACAGAAAGAAGTAATCGCCCATATCAGATTCAAAATATTTCAGTCAACAACCAAATGATCACATGTTTTTCTCTATTACTCCTTTATAACACAAGTGAAAGACTAAAATTTATTCCTGACAAGCAGCAAGCGCAAAGAAAATAGAACGGACCTCAAGCAAAAGGAGCAGATCTAGAATAATTGCATAATTCTAACTCCAGAAACAAGCATTCTAAATATTTTTACATAGCCAAGTTGTTACCTAAAGCAACACTGTTATGAAAGGACCTACATATATGACTCATCTCAGATAAAGCTTTAAACTTAAAGCATGAAGAACTAATGCCTACTGAAATTTAACAATGTCAAAGTTTTTATGCATCTAAATCCTTAGATATGAAACTGAAATTGACACAACATAAAACGTCAACAAACAGAAAAGACAAATTAATAATTAATAATATATATTATGTCTCGATTTGATCAAGCACTCAAATTTGGCAGACGTTGACAAAATATTAACCCCCGACTCTAAAACAAAATACCTTTTTTTCAAAGAAAAACACAATTAAAATAAATCCAGAAATACACATGCAAACTGAGACTTACTCATAACCAATGATTAGTAGTCAAGACAGTGAAAGTTTTGGCGGCTAGTTCATCGAGCTGAGTGGTGGAAACCCATTTGTAAACACCAACACACACCATTGAGACACAAGAGAAGGGCCAGACAACATAGGTTGTGCCTATAACTCTCTGATTTCTCGAATAGACGGAACTACTACACAATATCAAGCTACAACATATGTGACAAATCATGACATGCATATCCAAGATGGGGCGAGAAAACAGAAAAATTAAAAGAATGTAGCGTCTTTGGAATCAAGTATGCAAATATTCCGTACCTACTCAAAAGTTTAAGATGTCAAAATTTTATTGTAAAGCAGGAACAAACGCATGCATTGCTGATAAAACAGAGAAAAACGCGAAGAAGGTGTCCATTTATTTATAACATTACAAAATTAGAAATGGTGTTCATCTTCAAAAGACCCAAAAGGTAAAAGATAAAATTAAAGAGAAATTAAACTACTAAACCAAAAACTGAGCAAAAAATTAAGTGGAGTAAGAAAAGGAACTCACCAGGAAGAGATACATTAAAGCGATAGAAAGAGAGATTAAAAACTGAGAATGTTGCTTTTGATATGGAGAGAAAAAGGCAAAAGGGTGGGGGAAACCCTAAACCCACGCAGTGCTTCAAATTGAACACCTCGAAGTCTCCGGGTAGAACTTTAATGAGGCTAGGATTACTAAGTTATCCCTAAAAGTATATGTATTACCGAACAAGTACCCTTGGTCGTCCAAGGGACTTTCACATAGTTAAAATAATACTAGATGGCATGTGTCCGTGCTGTGCACGGCCTAAAACGGCCACATGCCTAATGTGAGAAGGCACGGGAGAAAATATGTTATTGATATTCGATGATAAATACAATACAAGAGGTCCCTATTTATAGCTATACACTACAAGGAGATATTACTCATCTTCCAATGTGGGACAAGACTACACTATACATATCTATAAACTAACACTCCCCCTCAATCCGGTGCATACACATCATATGTACCGAGCTTGTTACACATGTAACTAATACGAGAACCAGTAAGAGACTTAGTGAAAATATCTGCTAGTTGATCATTCGACTTTACAAACTTTGTAACAATATCTCCTGAAAGTATTTTTTCTCTGACAAAGTGACAGTCGATCTCAATGTGTTTAGTCCTCTCATGGAACACCGGATTTGACGCAATATGAAGAGCAGCTTGGTTATCACACACTAGTTCCATCTTGCTGATTTCTCCGAACTTTAACTCCTTGAGCAACTGCTTGACCCAAACTAACTCACACGTCGCCATAGCCATGGCCCGATATTCGGCTTCGGCGCTAGATCGAGCAACTACATTCTGTTTCTTGCTCTTCCACGAGACCAAATTACCTCCTACTAGAACACAATATCCAGACGTAGAACGTCTATCAAAAGGTGATCCTGCCCAATCAGCATCTGTGTACCCAACAATCTGCTCGTGGCCTCGATCCTCGAATAGTAATCCTTTGCCTGGAGCTGACTTTATATACCGAAGAATGCGAACAACTGCATCCCAGTGACTATCACAGGGAGAATCCATAAACTGACTTACAACACTCACCGGAAAAGAAATGTCAGGTCTAGTCACTGTGAGGTAATTCAATTTGCCAACCAACCTCCTATATCTCGTAGGGTCTCTAAGAGGCTCCCCATGTCCAGGCAGAAGCTTAGCATTCGGATCCATAGGAGAGTCAATAGGTCTGCAACCCATCATGTCTAAGGCATACTTCCGCTGTGAAAAAATAATACCTGAGCTAGACTGAGCGACCTCAATACCTAGAAAATACTTCAATCTGCCCAGATCCTTAGTCTGGAAGTGCTGAAAGAGATGTTCCTTCAGATTAGTAATACCATCCTGATCATTACCAGTAATAACAATATCATCAACATAAACCACTAGATAAATACACAGATTAGGAGCAGAATGCCGATAAAACACAGAGTGATCAGCCTCACTACGAGTCATGCCGAACTCCTGAATAATTGTGCTGAACTTACCAAACCAAGCTCGAGGGGACTGTTTCAAACCATATAGTGACTTGCGCAATCTACACACACAACCATTAAACTCCCCCTGAGCAACAAAACCAGGTGGTTGCTCCATATAAACTTCTTCCTCAAGATCACCGTGGAGAAAAGCATTCTTAATGTCTAACTGATAAAGAGGCCAATGACGTACAACAGCCATGGACAAAAAGAGACGAA